GTGCCGACCGTTTCACGAGCCCTTTTGATAAAGAATTTCACAATACACAAGTCAAAAATAAAACCACATTTTATCGAAACAAAAAAAACATTCACGCGAGGTCAAAAGAAGCCACATTGTTCTTGTGGTGAGCTTTATGTAAAGACCAGGGTGGCACAGGTGCTTAGCCGTTATCTGTAGAGCCGCCTAGTGAGTGAGTTGGAATGGGAGGTGTCCAACGTCCATTTTCTGCAAAGCACTCGATGTCAAGAGCACTGAGCCATCATGACTCCTTTGGTTCTGCAATGTCGGCTTCATTCATGAAAGCCTGCATCGTCACAGGACTGGCAGCTCCATTATTGTGTTTTATGAATGACCAGAGGAGCTTAATGAGGGCTGCTCCTCGCAGGTACGCATCAGACACATTTTGAGAAAGGGGCTAAAGATATTGATGGTTAAAATAAACGTGATGACCATTGTGGAACAAAAAGGACTACAGCATCCGTTTTGTACTTAAAAAAAAAAAAAACTCTGCTAACTTCAAAAACCTTTAGAAATACCATACTTGCTGCCTAAACGTCGCACTGACGTATAAGTCGTATCTATTATGCGTCACCGCTGACAACCCGGAAATGTGGGCCTGTGTTGCGCCAAAAATCGATTGGCTGCCAAATAGCAGCCGCGGGGGCGTGCATGGGAAGACTTTAACAAGATAATCACCCAACAACAATTATGTGTTTGCTCGACATTATAGTAAAGGTGCGTCTCAGTCTAACTTTTCCTTAATAAATACATTTTGACGGTCAAATCAGAGGCATTCAAAAGTCGATTTGCAGCTACGGGAGCGTGCAGAGAGAGGACTCGTTGTGTATTTTTGTGAAATTTGCCAAGATAACCACCTAAAAACAATTACTGTATTTTTTGGCCTATAAGCCGCAGTTTTTGGCATAATTTACAAGCGCTGCGACTTATAAGCCGAAGCGACATATTTATGGATATTTTTAATCATATTTATAAACCTCTTTTTGGCTGCGATATGACCGTTTCCATTCATTCTGACTGGAAAAAATGAGCAGTACCATTTTCAGCCACTTGATGGCAGCAGAGTAGTAATAGGTGTATGGCATGCTGCTGGCTCTTGTATCATGTAATGGGTAAACGTGGCTGTAATGACAAATTCAAAACAGTTCAAGACAAAAACAACTGGACTTTATTTATTATACTATACTTTATACTTTGGTTTTTTTTTCTTGAACTTTTTTGAATTTACCATGTCCTGGATGACTGAGAATCTTCACCAGCTTTTAATGACTCAGTCGGTCTGCCACAGTCTCCCCACCTTCATTCTGCTCTCTGCTTGGAACAGTCAAAACAGCTGCACCACCCTGGCAAAATGCAGCTAATGTGACCATTAAAGTACATTTATTAAGCAAACGTTGGACTTGCTATAATTTTGAGCACACAAATAATTGTTTTGGTGCTTTTCTTGTTAAATTTCGGAGAAACGAGCCGTTCCTCCTTCCCTTTTCTCGTCCTCTGCGCGTTCATGGAGCACCGAGGCAGCGAAACAATTTTTTAAATGCAGCTGATTTGACCCTCAAAGTGCATTTATTAAGCAAACAGACTGAGACACACATTTACTATAATTTTGAGCAAACAAATAATTATTTTTAAATGTTAACCTTGTTAAATTCTTGTTAAAGTCCTCCCGTGCTCGCTCCCGCGGCCGCCATTTGGCAATCCATCGTTCTTTGGCACAACACCTGTCCACATTTCCGGGTTCGGCCCACATTTGTAATGACGCGTTATAGATGCGACGTATACGGCGAAGCGACATATTTATGGATTTTTCCATTTTATTAGACAAATATGGACTGATGCGACTTATAGGGCGGTGCGATGTGTCCGCCGGAAAATACAATATTTGTTTGCTCAACATTAAAATAAAGGTGTGTCTCAGTTAAACTTTTCCTTAATGCACTTTAATGGTCAAATCAACTGCATTTCTCCTGGGAGGTGCAGTGAAATGCAGCTGATTTGACGTTTGCTCGAAGGTGGCTCTGTATGACAAACCAAGTGTCTCATTAATAACCACTTTTACCTATTAGTGAGACACTTGACGCCCTGTGATGGACTTGCAACCTGTCCAGGGTGTACCCCGCCCCTCGCACAGTGACTGCTGGACATGGGCACCGGCGACCCCCGTGACCAAAAATGGAAGAAGGGGGTAAAAGATAATGGATGAATGGATGGATGGATGGAGACACTTGGCTTGCCATATTAGTCGAGGGCCCTCTAGCAGCTGAAAATGATAGAGTTCAATATTTTCCATGTTAGAATGAATGAAATCGTCAGATCTCAGACAAAACTTGGTTAAAAATATGGAAAAAAACATAAGTCACTTCGCTGTATAAGCCGCAGGGCATGCTAATTTATGCACAAAGCTGCGACTTATACAACGAAAAATAAGGTTATCGTTGTGGTGGAGGAGATACGTTTGTCACATTTTAGATCTGTTTGGAGCCACAGCGAGTCCAACACTGCTTTTACCGGCCTATTTAAAAAAGATTTCCATCACTTGGAATATTCTTTTTAAATCTGTAACTAGGAAATGCCATATTTTAGAGCTCAACAAACAACCCCGTCAACAAGTTCTGGTTCCACAGCTCTGCGAGGTCAAGCCGGTGACAGAGCCTGCAGAACCACTGACACTTCACCTCGCATCTGAACTTTGGACTAAATCTGTTTGTTTCAGGGCAATACATAATCAGACTGGGTGACAATTAACTTGTGTGCTTCCTCCCACGTTAAACTCTTTTTAAATTCTTAAAATGGGACCTGTAATTTCTCTATCACTAAAGCGTGGCGTTGTCAGAACCGTGAATAGAACCTTTGACTGTGCTCTACAAGATAAAACTCAGTTATAGCTGAAGATAAAACAAAGAAATAGTTGAGAAAATTAAGTGTTCGTGCCACTGAATGCTCGTACTGCCACTTGCACTTTATCCACTTCACATACAGAAGTTCAGATTGTAGTATTAGTACTGGATTACTGCCAAAGTTCAGTCAGAGTACAATGACATTTCAGTCCACAATCAAAACTCTGTGCACGTTGACCCTGCCAAAGGCCTTTTTTATGCTGCTTCTTCCTGAACGCACTGCACTTTGTCAACTACAACTGTGAGGCTCATGCATGAGGAGAGGACTTCTAATGTGTGTTGTGTTCAACGGTTTCTGAGTTTCTTTTCCTGAGCTGGCTTTTTCACTCGTACCTCTTGTAGCAGTAGATCTCCTCCGGATCAGCGATGCCATACTCTCTGAGCTTCAGGATCATCTGGGCACTTTTTCGAACAGACTGGTCGTAGCGCTCACTGCGAGACAGGAAGTTTGGGTCGTCCTCCTCGAAGTCTGGGTCGCTGAAAACAAGCGCCTCTACAAGACGATGAGACATCCGAGCATTATCAAGGAGGCATTATTTTACTAACAGCAGGGGAGAAGAATCATATGAGGCTCTTATTTCTAGACCAAACACAGTTTATCATTCTAAAGCTCTTAATAATCAGTGTAGCCGTAACACTGCTCGGCATCATTTGTACTAGAACTCACCGGTTTGTTTAAGATGTGATAATCTGAAAACGATGTGATGTGAACATGTCCATCAGAGAAGCAACAAAAAGATTTAAAGGTGCTCATCGTAACGTTGTGAAGACAGGTCATAAATTAAAAAACAACGTTTGCACGGTTTAATTTCTCATGTTGATATGTCCTTAAATTTAAAAGAAAAAAAATGGAAGCAAAATTTGTGACTGGCTGTCGTCTGAGCTCGTTTACCTACGAAAAGAGCCGAAGTGACTGAAAATGATCAACAGTGATGGCGTCCATGGAAGAGCTCTTCAGGATGGAGAAGTCAGACATTTTTGAAGTTTTTGTACGCATTTACATTCAGATTTGTTGAGTAAGGAACACAGATATATTAAAAATTATCTTACTAGAAAAACAATGTTTTTCTGAACAGTACAACTGATAAGAAATATTTTGGGTTGTGCTACAAAATGTTGCTACTCCGTCACTTTAGAATGAAATTTGCTGTCGTCTCCTGTAGTTTTACAGCAGATTCAATATTGCAACCTAAATTTATTCTCCAAAATCCTACGCTTGTCTGATTTTGCCATAATTATGTATCTATGCAAAGTACAGTCAGCCTAATATATACATGTTTTTAATTTAACCTTTATTTATACAGGTTAGTCTCACTGAGTCACAAAGACTCATTTTCAAGAGAGACCTGTTCAGACAGACAACATGCAGAGCTCAGTAAAGTCTAATGAACAATCTAAACATTAATCAATCAAGACTTCTCAGACTGAACAAAAAAACGTTCAGATGACCTGAACATTGTTGGATTATATACCTGGATTATTGAGCATGAACCTCGATGTTAATCAATCAAGGATTTTTATCCCTGATTCTCTTTGAGCAGGAATTATTTCGGCTTTTACACGCGCGCACATTTAGTCAAAGTTTAACAAAAAGTTTACTTTGGATTTTGGTCGAGAGAACTCGATGTAGGTCAGTCCTGTGACTCGAGCTGCTGTCATTTTAGGCAGATTCAGAAGAATACTACGTTTACAATAAGTGAGTACCTGCATTTTATTATGACACAAACATTTGAAAAAATAAAACTACTGAAGTAAACTCTTTAAAAATTTGAGATAGTTGAGATGAATACTTCTAGTTTTTATGTCATAGTTTGTAATGAGCACCTTTAAGTTGCAATATCGTTAGATAAAAATGTGACACTAATCTTGATAAATCATGTAGTTTGTATTCATTTTTAACTTCTTGTACAATCCTCGCGACTCAGTGAGACTAACCTGTATAAATAAAGGTTGACTGAACAAACCTGTAAATATGTGACTTTAAATCATCTCCTGCATCCTATAGAAATCATATGAGTCCGGATCATGGACAGTGGTGGTCGTTTAATGAAGTTTCAGACTGTTAGGTAACAGCTGATAGAAGCATAAAACAGGCAGGGCCTCTTCTTCTTAACTGCCACAACAGCATCAAGATAAAAGTAAGGACGACTTTTTATCTAAAACTCACCTATTTCTCGTCTTCTTTTGGTCTTCTCCAGGCTCCCGTCCAAAATATATGTTAGTTTTTCTGCATCAAACGAAGCGTTTTCACGCTCTCTCCTAATGTCTGGATTCATGGCTCTTAAAACAAACCGCAAACAAAATGTACACCTCAAAAAAATGAACTAAACCTGAACGCGTTATAATAACCTCCAGTAACCTGACAGTTCCTGTTCCCGGCGTCTTCTTTACTGCGCAGCCGCAAAGAGGTGGGGCTTACATCATGTGACACGTACCCCGGAAGTATTAGGTCTTTCTCAACATTTGAATTAGTTCGTGATTATTTGCTTTTATAAATTACATACAATTAAAATGTCGGTACTTCCTTCAGCCGCAGAGTTCCGTTTTGTTTGGGAAGTAAACTCTGTGAAGGACGGGGACTCGGTGAGGACATTTGGCAGGTGACGAGTTCACGACACATCCCTGACTGGAAAACTTTATTACAACATATTTTAAGAAATAATTCACAGTTTTTGACACATTAAATTCTAAACAATTGGGTCTAACGTAGAAGTGGCAAATATAATAACATGTTTTCTTTTAGAAACCACTGATTGGACTTGTATCAACTGAGTGAGTCCATATACAGGTCCTTCTAAAAATAGCATATTGTGGTAAAGGTCATTATTTTCCATAATGTAATGATAAAAATGAAACTTTCATATATTTCAGATTCATTGCACACCAACTGAAATATTTCATGTCTTTAATTGTTTTAATACTGATGATTATGGCATACAGCTCATGAAAACCCAAAATGCCTGTCCCAAAAAATTAGCATATTTCATCCCACCAATGACAGACAAGTTTTTTTAATACAAAAAACACCAACCTTCAAATAATCATGTTCAGTTATGCACTCAATACTTGGTCGGGAATCCTTTTGCATGAATGACTGCTTCAATGCGGCGTGGCATGGAGGCAATCAGCCTGTGGCACTGCTGAGGTGTTATGGAGGCCCAGGATGCTTCGATAGCGGCCTTAAGCTCATCCAGAGTGTTGGGTCTTGCGTCTCTCAACTTTCTCTTCACAATATCCCACAGGTTCTCTATGGGGTTCAGGTCAGGAGAGTTGGCAGGCCAATTGAGCACAGTAATACCATGGTCAGTAAACCATTTACCAGTGGTTTTGGCACTGTGAGCAGGTGCCAGGTCGTGCTGAAAAATGAAATCTTCATCTCCATAAAGCTTTTCAGCAGATGGAAGCATGAAGTGCTCCAAAATCTCCTGATAGCTAGCTGCATTGACCCTGCGCTTGATAAAACACAGTGGACCAACACCAGCAGCTGACATGGCACCCCAGACCATCACTGACTGTGGGTGCTTCACACTGGACTTGTGGCATTTTGGCATTTCCTTCTCCCCAGTCTTCCTCCAGACTCTGGAACCTTGATTTTCGAATGACATGCAAAATTTGCTTTCATCCGAAAAAAGTACTTTGGACCACTGAGCAACAGTCCAGTGCTGCTTCTCTGTAGCCCAGGTCAGGCGTTCTGCCGCTGTTTCTGGTTCAAAAGTGGTTTGACCTGGGGAATGCGGCACCTGTAGCCCATTTCCTGCACACGCCTGTGCACGGTGGCTCTGGATGTTTCTACTCTAGACTCAGTCCACTGCTTCCGCAGGTCCCCCAAGGTCTGGAATCGGCCCTTCTCCACAATCCTCCTCAGGGTCCGGTCACCTCTTCTCGTTGTGCAGCGTTTTCTGCCACACTTTTCCCTTCCCACAGACTTCCCACTGAGGTGTCTTGATACAGCACTCTGGGAACAGCCTATTCGTTCAGCAATTTCTTTCTGTGTCTTACCCACTTGCTTGAGGGTGTCAATGATGGCCTTCTGGACAGCAGTCAGGTCGGCAGTCTTACCCATGATTGCGGTTTTGAGTAATGAACAAGGCTGGGAGTTTTTAAAAGCCTCAGGAATCTTTTGCAGGTGTTTAGAGTTACGTCGTTGATTCAGATGGTTAGGTTAATAGCTTGTTTAGAGAACCTTTTCATGATATGCTAATTTTTTGGGACAGGCATTTTGGGTTTTCATGAGCTGTATGCCATAATCATCAGTATTAAAACAATTAAAGACCTGAAATATTTCAGTTGGTGTGCAATGAATCTGAAATATATGAAAGTTTCATTTTTATCATTACATTATGGAAAATAATGACCTTTATCACAATATGCTAATTTTTTTAGACGGACCTGTATTCATTTATTTTTATCTCCAGCTGCAGAAAAAGGGGGCGGGCGATAATGTTTTAGCCCATGTCTGTGCACGTGCGTGTGTTTGTGTGTCTGTCACCAAAATATCTCTTGAACCATTTAACGGATTTTTATAAAACTTGCAGAAATCAATCACTGGATATCCACAACTGATAAACATTTAGTCAATCCAGTTCATAATGGCTGCCGCTGGCAAATACACATAAAGACACTAAAATGCTGTAACTCAGTAACTCAACTACTGATATCGACCTAAACTTTGGTAGTAGCAGACTGATCACATATTCTGAGCACTAACTGCATTTTTTCATTATTTGTAGTCAACTCTGTTAGCAAAATATTGATCGTAACACTGCACAGATTTGAATGAAGCCTTAGGATGAAATCTTTGAATGTACATCTACAACTGATTAGCATTTGAAACCAACTTATTCAAGACGGCTGCCACAGACAACTGATCTTATTCAGTCAGTTTTACGATTATTGAGCTCAGATTTGGTGCGGTTGAAACTGAGAGTCACAAACTACAAGTCATCGCGCAAGATCTTTGTTTAAAACTTTAACATAACTGTTGGAGGTACGGTAACTGTCTGTTAGCATAACATCTCATGGACCACTACACAGACTTTAATGACATTTCAGAAACTAATCCTTGGATGTGCACGTGAATCAATGTTGGAGTCAATCTGATTTAAAATGGCTGCCACATGTACTTTAGCCAACACATGAATGGCTGTACCTCAGTCAGTTTTATAGACAACTTGCTAATCCTTAACAAAACCTCTGAACACCAAAGTTCATGCTCAGTAATCCAGGTATAAAATCCAACAATGTTCAGTCAGGTCATCAGGATGGTTTCTTTCTTTTTTTTTTTTTTGGCTGAGACATTTCGTCCTTCATCCAAAGGACTTCTTCATGCTGAGGAGCCACCAACAAACAAGACTTATTACCACAACAGCATACTCCGTAGTGGAAAAAAACAGTTTGCTGGTGCTAACATGGCCTCCGGGGCCCGCCCTCTCCCCCGTCAACTCCTCTTTGGCTGTGGCTGCCTGAGAGGAGTCGACAGGGGAGAGGATGCCCCCCAGAAACCATCTTATCACCAGCAAACTGGTTGGTCCACTATAGGAGTGCACTGCTTAGTGGGGAAAACAGCTTGTTTGTGACTTCTCAGACTGATAAAGCCCTTTGGATGAAGGGCAAAACATCTCTCAACAACAACAAAAAAAAAAACATCCAGATAACCTGACTGAACATTGTTGGATTTTATACCTGGATTATTGAGCATGATTCTTGATGTCCTCCGAGACAGTCATGCCAAATGGTTCTGAACTCCAAAGTTCATGCTCCATAATCCAGGTAGAAAATCCAACAATCTTCATTCAGCTCATCTGGATGGTTTCTAGATGAAGAAGTCCTTCGGATGAAGGACGAAACGTCTCAGTTAAAGAAAAGAAACCATCCAGATGACCTGATGGTACATTGTTGGAAAACCTCTGAACATCTCACCCCATCAGATGAGATTGTATTTTTAAAGTTGAACCAAAATGGCTCCAGCTCCATCGTTTCACAACAAGATGAAGTCAGTTTAAAACTGGCATGAAAGGAGGTGGTGATGTGCATTCCTTCAAGGAACTTCCATGCTTTTGTTAATCTTGCCTTTTCTTCTTAAAGGGGGCAGCTGTGGCTGAGTGGTTAGAGCAGTAGTCCTCCAATGCAAGAGTTGGGGGTTCAAATCCACCAGCAGTCAAATGCTGAAGTGTCCCTGGGCAAGACACTGAACCCCTCATTGCCTCTGATGTGTGTCCCATCAGTGCATGAGTGTGATAAAGCTCTGATTAGTCTCTTTAGAATGATTTGTTCAATTATCTTTGTAGAGATCTAGTATAGAGCTGCATGAATGGATTGTAGTGTAAAGAGCTTTGAGTATCTTGAAATAAGATAGAAAGGTGTTATATAAGTACAGTCCATTTACTATTTACCATTTTTAAACAAAAGTAATTGCTGACTCCTATATTTGGGATTTAATAATTGTCCTAATTCTTTAAATCTTTTTTTGAAGTGGTATTACACGAATATACTAAAGAAATGCTTCACATACACAATTTCATTTTATTGTTGAAAAAATGTCTATGTAATCATAATTTTATAATTTTAATAACCCCTTTTAAATTTTCAGACTTGTCTGCTATCAGCCAGAGGAGTCCAGGGCCACGCTGTCCGCTCAGCACGCTTCAAAGGAGCACAGAGTGCGTGTCCGGACTGCGTTTGTCGAGCCGTTTCACCCAATAATAGGAGCCCAGTACTTAGTTCTAGGTGAAGTGGACAATCATGAAGGTAAGAAAACATTAATGAAAAAGCTTGTTTTAATTTAATACAATTTAGTCAGTTAAAATGCTGGGGAGTGGTGGCGCAGAGGTTAGAGAAGGTGAGCCTGTGATCAGAAGGTCGCTGGTTCAACTCCCCGGACCGACAACATCAAAATGTTGGGTGGAAAAGGTGAAGCACCCACACCTGTCTCCACCCTCATTTGCTCCACTCTGGGCTCTTGAGCAAGGCTCTTAACCCCCACCATCTGCTCCCTGGGCGCCCCAGATAGCAGCTCTCTGCTCCACACAGAGGGCTGTGGTAGCTCGGTGGTCTGTGGTTGTGTCAGGGAGGACATCCGTCATAAAAACAATCGCCAAGTCTTCGTGCGAGTTAGTTCGCTGTGGCGACCCCTGAAGAAGGGAGCAGCCGAAAGAAGAAGTTCACTCTGTGAATTAGTTGAATGAAATTTAAAGCAGCTATCTGTTCTCGTGGATTGAACTGATAATATCCATTGTTTTGTTTTTTAACTCCGTTACAGGAATGAAGCTTGTGTTACTGGTTTGTTTGACTTGAGCTGCTTCTGAATGAACTTTTCATTAGTTGACAGTTACGTGATGTTCTCATTGAAAAACACTCAGATATCTTCCTGTTTCCCACCCATGCCTGTTTTTCTTACAGAGCTTGGCGTGATGATCCGTGCCCGTGTACTCAACTGTGTTGATGGTGTAAACATTGCACTTCTGCAGAAAGCCATCAATGATCAAAGGAGCTTCTTCAGAGACAGGGAGGACAAACAGTGATTCTACTCAACCTGCAGATGCAACTTGATCTAGGTCATCATCCATTTGGGTACCCGTGGTGTTTGTTATCTGTCATGGCCGCCACACTGTTGCTATTCTGACCTTTGTAGGGGTTGTTTTGAAACGGTGAAAGCTCAAAAGTTATTAGATTTTCACATTATTGAACATTTATGTTCAGTATTTAGCAGCATACAGTGACTCATGAATGATAACTGCCATGTTCTAAGACATTTATCATCTATCATTCTGCTTCGTGTAACTTTGTTGGCTAAAATCCTTCAAGTTGAAAATCTTTTTCATGCAAGTATAAAAATCCATCCATCATTTTATTTGCTCACAGTTTCCTTTCCAGGTCGCAGGGGAGCTGGTTCCTAATATCTCCAGCAGTCACTGTGTGAGAGGCAGCGGACACCCTGGACAGGTCTCCAGTCCATCTCAGGGACACCCTGGACAGGTCTCCAGTCCATCACAGGGACACCCTGGACAGGTCTCCAGTCCATCACAGGGACACATAGAGCCAAACGAGACAAACAACCATTCACTCTCACCAAAGGACAATTTAGAGTTACCTGTGCATGTTTTTGGTCTGTGGGAGGAAACCGGAGTACCCGGAGAAAACCCACACATGCACAGAGAGAACGTGCAAATGCTAACCCAGAACGGCAGGAAGGCGAACCTGTGAACTTCTTGCTGTGAGACAACAGCACTTACCACTGCCCCACCATGCACCCTGATAAAATTCTATAGATCTACAATTAAGAAGTGTTAAAAAAAACAAGTTCATATTTCATCAGATTGTCAAAGATTTTGTGTTTGTTAAAAGTAATCCAATACGTTAGTGAGTCAGTTCAGGAATGATGCAGTCATCCTCCTTATAGCATGCTCCTCTGTGTCTATAGCAGTCCTTCTCAAATAGTGGGGTGCGCCCCCCTGGGGGGGGGGGGGGGGGGAGGGAAGGGGGGGGGGGGGGGGGGGGCGCATGTGACCCCGAGGCACATTTTGCGGCAGGGAGGTTTTTTTTTTTCCTCCTTTTTTTTTTCACTGTTATTGTGTCAGGGTGCGTTCGGAAACTGTTTGCTAAAATCCAGCAACTCTCAGTTTTAATAATAATAAAGTTATGAACAAATATGTCTGTCTTGTCGTTTGAGGAGCCATGATTGAACCGTGTCGCTTCCCTCTGCTGCTGAGCAGCTGCTGACGCTCGTCACCTGCTGCACGCGTTAGTTACCTGCCCCACTTTCACTTTAACGTTTTTTTTTTTTGGTTTGTTTTTTGGTTTGTCAAAGCACAATTATGACGTTTTTTAATACAGAAGTAATGTTTAATAAATGTTAGGACTCTATTATTTGCTAACAAATCCTCAGCTCGGAACGCATTTCACCCACAACACGCAGCAACAAAGAGTATAAACTCAAAGCGAGAGCGACACCTGCCCCTCTTCCTCTTTCACATTGACAACATTTTTTAGTTTTATCGACTGTCAAAATACAGTTTTCATGTTTTTTTATTTGTTGGAAAAATGTATGTTTAACAAATGTTAGGACTCTATGCTAACAAAATATATTTTATGTCATTAAACAACTTGTCAGGTTCTTCTCTTGTGAGCGCGTTCCACTAGACCCACCCAAACGTTGGTTATGTACTGTAACCCCAGATTCTATGAATATAGGCGTAGCCCTTTAAGGCTGTCGCTGATGGGTTTTATCCCAATATGCAGAGCATTACACTGAAAAATTTAGTCCACACCCACCTGCTGTGTGGGCCCCACCCGGTCCGTATAAATTACGTTAAGAGCGGGTAATCGGCTCCCAAATAGCTTTTTCTTCAGCCATTTAGGAGCCAGTGAGGCCCAACGCTTAAAGGGCTACGCCTATACTCATAGAATCTGGGGTTACAGTACGTAACCAACGCTCTATTTCGTATAGGCTTCGCCCTTTAAGGCTGTCGCTGATGGGTTAAGGGCGAAGTGGATGTTGTCCTCGCCTCACTGGGTCCATCCGAACACTGTATGAAGCAGAAATTTGCCCAAAAGACGTCTTGTCACTCAGCTCCCCATGTGCGTAATTGCGCATTGCGTAATTATGTGTGCCATGCACAGACGCATGTTGTGTAACTATGCGTTCTGAATACATGAACGCCCCAGAAAAACTTCAACTGGGAGGGAAAAGTGCTGAAAGGAGCCATGAACCAACCGGTTACGGCTGAACAGTATGAACAGATTAATAATAACAGGAGAGCTGATTAATAATCAAATGAACTGATTGGTAACAATAGTCGTGAACTGATTAGTGACAAAAGAACCAAAATAACAATCACAACTTGTGACTGATAACAACATCTCACACTAATGCATGCAGACAGATGTGAGTAAAACGGAGTTCCATGAAACAACAATATTCATTCTGTAAACACTAAGGACAGAATGTGTCATGGAACAGGCCGTCACATCACGTAGATAAAAGTGAATAAATGAGCAGGGTGTTGACCACGCGGCCGCAGTGTAAATATCCTACATTGTCATACCATTATGCAAAGCAGTCGAAGATGCGATACCCCTGGTCGAGTGTGCTCTGAGGTTGACAGGAGGCTCTAAATCTGATGCTCTGTAGGCTTCAGAAATGGCCTCACACAGCCAGTGTGACAAGCGCTGGGTGGATAACGGGCGACCTGCAGATGCATCTCTATAATGCACAAACAAATGATGAATTTGACACATTGCAGCTGTGCGTGCTATGTAACACGTCAACGCCCGCACCGGACAGAGAAGATGGGAAAAACGCTTCTTCCTCTGATTTGTGGGGAGAAGGGAAAACCCCTCCAACAATATCACCCTTGATTTAAAAGAGCTCGTGATGTTTTTAGGCATAAAAGCTGGATTTGGTCTTAAATCAGCTGAGCTGCTGTCAGCCGGAGCGACAGAGAGGGCAGATAAATCATTCACTCTCTTAGCGGATGTTAAAACCAGCAGCAGGGCTGTTTAAAGAGACAAGAATTTAAGGTCGTTTTCACACCAGATAGTCCGGTAGACTCTGTTCGGTTCGGGACCAATATTCATGACATTTTGTTTACATTTGAGCTGGTGCATTTGCATTCACACTGCACTGTGCAGTCGAGTCAACCTGTTGAACCAACCTATTCCCCCTCTCGCCTGTGGGGGCGCTGCACCAAGAACTACTGAAAGAAACGACACAAAAACCTCTGAAGACACGTCTTCTTCTTCTGTAAACAAAAACGAAGTGGCATCAAGTTTTAGCAGTTTTAGGAGTTATATTTTGTCATTTTTCAAAAATGGACTTAGCATGAGCAGAAGATAAGACAGAAGACCATGGAGAGTATTGTTTTTCCACACACGGCAGCTGACGGCTCCATATAAGGTAAGAGAAATGCGTGTTTGTTTACCCTGTGGAGCGGGGCTTGGTCTGTTTACATTCACACTGCACTCGAACCGCACTGGAGTTCTCTTCTACCGGACCGAGACCTAGGTTTTAGCTCGGGCCAGAGTTAGCCTTTTTTGTTCCGTGACAGAGTTCGATGGCGCATTCACACCTCCCTAAACGAACCGGACTTTCTAGGAAAACGAGCTAGAGTTCGATTAAAGCGGACTAAACAGGGCTGGTGTGAATGCACCTTAATTGGGACCTGATCCAGAGGCTCAAATGGAGCTTTGATCAGGGCCCGCAGGACCAGCGTTAAATCCCACTGTGGAGCAAGTGGGTGTGAAACAGGCCTGCGTCTCTGTACACCTTTTAGAAAACAATTCATCAGTGTGGAATTTGAGGTGGGCACATGGCTATGGGTGGTGGGATGACCTTACTCTCACCCCCTGTGCCTGTGCTCACTTACAACGGTTGCATTTAGACACTAGGGTTTGGATAGAGTTGGGGTGGAGGGGAAACTGGCACCATGCCAGCCTTTGCTCCTTCTTCTTTCCTTTTTAATGGCACTATACAACAACACACATCAACAGCACATCTAGGGGTGGGGGTGTATGTGTCGGGGTCTTATTTTTAGTTATTTATTTATTTTATTTATTTTTTTATTTTTATTTTTTCTCCTCTTCCTACCCACCTAGTTCCCTGACTGCCATTCCGGGGGTGGGGTCCGGGAGAAGGGCAGGCCGTCGGGTGTTGACCAGGATTATGTGGGGGTTCAGGGTCTGGGGGGTGCCATGGGCGGTGCTGGCGCTGTGCTCTCCCTGGGGTTGTTTGGACCCCCTGAGCTTGGCTCTTGGGTGCCATGGTTGGCCCGCTGGCCGGGGTGGCTGCCGGGGCCTGGCGGGCGTTCGGCTGGGGGTGCGTGCTTGGTTGTTGGCGGTGTGTGGGGGTGGTCGGTGGCGTGTCCTCTTCATGGTGGGGGGGTATCCTGTCGGCGGGGCATGGCCTGGGCCGGGTCTGGGGTATTGGCTCTTCTCCGCTCAAGAATGAATGGGTTTACCTCCTGGGTTTGGGCATGGGCTGCCCCCTGTAGAGGGCGGGTACATGTCTTGGACCTGGGGGGTATAGAGTGTGTATCGGGAATAAGAATGAAATGTATCGTTATTGTATGTCTTTGAGTGAATGAATGTGAGATTGAGGTTGGGATAGTGTGATTGTGTATGTGTATGAATGGGTATTTGTTAGGCCGAGACTCGGACTGCCCCCTCTTTGATACAACTGGGGGTGCTTGGCATCGCGCCCCTATCGCGCGGCCCCCTGGTGGGGTGTGCCCTTGCCTGCCGGCGCGCTTGGGGCCCTTGGTATCGGGGGCTGGGCGCTTGGGCGTGTGTCGGCTCGGCCTGGTGTCTGCCTGGTGGGGCTCGGGTCCTCTGGCCCTGTCGGGCCTTGGCCTGGGTGGTGTGAGTCCTCGGTGCCCGGGCCTCGGTGCCTGGACCTGGACCTACATCGGTG